AGAGTGTTCAAAGCAGCAATTAGTCAATAGTGTTAAATACTATTGAGAAGTTGGCTAAAACAAAGGCTACAAAGTATTCACTGGATTTAGCAAGAGAGCTCATTAGTCCCATCTTTGTCAGAGCAGACTCTATGTGGAGGTAGGAAGAGCCGTCATGAGTGCTAAGGAAGATATTCAATGTCATGTACAAGGTCCTTGGATACACTGATGTTTTGCTGGTGGGAACAGAGATTTTCTTCTAAAAGCAACATAGTGGACATTTGTACCCAAGGGTGAGGGGCGAGTATCAGTTTTAGTATTTTCTTACATTGTTACTGGTGCTTATCTTCATTAACATGATAGTATAAAATGCTTTGGGATTTAGTAAAAAGGGGCCTTGGTGCAGAGGGTTCTGAGTTGGGCTGCTTACCACAGAGCCATCAGTTTGAAGCCACCAGGTGCTCTGTGCGAGAAAGATGAGGCGACCTGCTCCTGTTAAGACTCACACCCTCCTCAGCCCACCGAGGCAATTCTACTCTGCCCAGTCGGCTCGATATAAATAAAAATTAAAAAATCAACTTGATGGCAGTGAGTATGTTTAGCTATTTTAGATCTATTGTTCACAAAGTAGTTACGTTATAATTAGCTAGGAGATGGGACCAATTACCCTGTAAACACTATAACCTAGGAAACCCTATGGGGTCTTTTTATGCTGTCAGCATGGGGGTCACTAGGAGTTGAAAATTAACTTAGTGCACCTAATAGTAGCAAGTTCCTAGTAGAATCAATATCGTAATATACATGGTGTGCCTCAGAGTATCATGATCTTTTTAAAATATTTTTTATTTGTATCATGATCTTAAAATACTATCTTCACCAAGGATGAGAACCACCGTGGATCCAGATTGAACCAATCTCCTTTTCTAGGCCCTCCCCACTTCCCATCATTGCCTATCCTCTGGCCTGCAAGCAGATGATGTCTGTCTCACTGCAAACAGGGCGGTCCCTAGCATAAGGGAGTTTGGGAGACCAGGGTGTACTCACAGAGGAAAAGATGAGAAGGACTTGGATGTCATCCTGTTCAGTGGTTTCCACACCTAGCTGAACATCAAAATGAACACTGGGACAGTGCGGTAGTTACGTACTCTGGTGTCAATTTGAAAGGATTATGAGGGAAGGGGTAGAGTCTGGCCTGTCAATCAAGATATAACCACTGAGGCCTCTGTGCGGGTATGGCCTTCTCCTGGGAATTCTGGGAACTCCTAGGTTTCCTCCTTGGACTCCAGAGACACTTCTCTCTCTCTGCTCACTCCCTGGGAGACGCTATACTGACCAGACACATGGCGCTATGCCCTGGGAACTGGAGAAACCACATGCACCTACTCTGATGCAACCAGACCTCTGGAGCCGGAGAAGCAACGTAGAAAGCCCTGCCAGCTCTGACATGCTTATAATGCTGCTGAATCCACAAGACTTCCAACCCACTGGCCTGTGATCCTCTTGCATTCGGCATCATTGTATGTATTTCGTGAGTCTGAAGAGGACTTTATAGATTGGTATCAGACACATGGGCTAATATTGGATTTATGGACTTGATCTGGAATGGACTGGGACATTTTCTCAATATTCAACTGTTCTTGTATATAAAGCTCTTTCTTTTTTTTTTGAAATGAGTATGAAATGTAATTTTATTTTAATTTATCAGAAAAAAAACTAAAGAAATGCCTGAATCCAATTCAATGGTTCTTTCCCCAAGTGATATCAGATCTCCATAAAATTGTAACTTTTAAAAAAATCATCAGTATCTGTTTTATTTGGTCTCTCATGTTTTTAAAAAATCATTTTATTAGGGGCTCATACAACTCTTATCACAACCTATACATATATCCATTGTGTAAAGCACATTTGTACATTCATTGCCCTCATCATTCTCAAAACATTTCCTCTCCA